ATTTCGTACTGTTATCGTACCGAATATAAGAGATCTACCGTACCGTGCTAGAGGATCTCGCGGATCGAGGAGCGCCTAGCTCTCGTTCCGGGGAACACGCTCTTCCGACTTCGCGAGCGCTTTGCTCGGGTGTGTTCATCGGCACGTGCATGCTGCGTGGTTTGTGATTGCTGAAGTGCACGGTGTCTGAGGACGGGCATTCGGCGAGAGTTTTGCGCCGTGTACTTGCACGAGTTGGCTAGATCAGACCGTTTTACCGTTTTCAGCCTAAAGAACGCTTTGAGTAACTCGCTTGTTCCCATTTTTTTATCATACCGCCTAGAGTGTATAGCGTAAGTGAAGCCAGNGCGACGATATAACGTATTCGATATCACGAGTTAAGATCCGCCNTTGGTCTTGCGATAGATCCCGTCTGTTAACTGTGTCTTGTTACTTGTCCCTATATTTTTGTATTTTCTTTTACTTCTCATTTTCTTATAATTACTGCCGCCGCGACAGAGCGATCCCGCCGTATCCTAACGGTAAACTTTATTTTGTATTTTTTTTGTTGTTTTCGCTACGTTGCCTATTCCGCGGTTATAATAAATTGTTTATTTCTTATTATCTATCTGCAGTGTGGTTAATTGCGAACCTAATCCGAGATTCGTCCGGGACAGCCGTGATTAATTATCATCCGACCCACCCCCTCTCCGTTTAAATAGAGCTAGTCGGCCCATTGTGTCGAGCGACGCATATTTTGACGCGAGTTCGCGTCTGGCGCCCAGAATTAGATCTAAGGATTCGTCGGCTCGGTATAGTGGTTGCTCGGTTTGACACCCTTTTTCTCTCCTGCCTGTCGAGACGTTTCCTATCTCGCGAACTTCCGTCCGTGTCCCGATCTCGTATCTTTCCGTTTCGGGCGAGACGACGCGGGAATTTGCGTTACCATCCAGAAAAACGTCACAGTATATAATTTAATTAAAAGTTTTAATATTTATATAAATAAGCGCAATCTAATTAAATCATAAGCGATATCAAATTAACTACATAATGTTTGCTAAATAAATTATACTTGTAAAACTACAACTACAATAATTTTAGTAGCAATTTAATAAATTAAAAAACAATAGTACCGTTTATGGATCGTTTAGCTATCTGAAATGTAGCTTCTTCATCTGAAACTTCAATAACAGTATAATCCTCTGTTGTGTTTGTTTCTATTTTTTGTTGTTCTGCCTCTTTCCCATTTTTCACAATATCAAATATTATTTCTGAATTGTTGCGAATAAGTCGTCTCTTATCTGCAATTATTATAAAGACATAATTTATAACACACTTAAATGTTAAAGAGAAGACAAGAAGTATGTAAAAAATGTACTCCTTATCTTCTTTCACTAAACAAAATTTATGTAAAAAGACAAAAAAAAGTAAAAATATTAGGTTATATTTTTATGTACTTACTATGTATTTCAGCTTATGAATCATCGCATGAAAACTGTGTTGGTGCTGTTTCTAACAAATGTGGTGTAATAAGAGCAATATCAGGATCTAGCTCAGGCAATTTTTGCTCTGGGCCACCTCCAGTACCTAATTTTGCTTGACGTTCTTTTGTTAAAATATTTCTTTGGCCTGTTTTCATATTTGCTCAAAGTTTTTTAAGTTGTTATATTGATCTCTATAAAATAGATTGGAGTTAAATTAGATTATATATGTGTGTGGAATATTGAGATAAAACACACATATAAGCGAGAGAGAGAGAGAGAGAAAGAGAGAGAGAGAGAAAGAGAGAGAGAGAGAGAGAGAGAGAGAGAGAGAGAGAGACAGACAGACAGATAGACAGAAAGAGACAGAAAGAAAAGGGAGAGAAAGAGAAACAGAGAGAAAAGAAGGAAAGAAAGGAAAAGAGAGAAAGAGAGAGAGATAAAGATTGGGAAAGAGAGTAAAGAAAAAAGTAAACAGTATTTAATATTTTTCTAGTACAATCACATTACATTAATTTTATGGCTCTGACCTTTTGAGTAATAATACTAGATAAATTATATTTCTCAGTATTTTCTCTCCATGCTTTATCTTTTTTTTTCAAAGTAGAAGCATCACTTTTCTTAGCTTCAATAATTGAACTATATTTTTTTAATATTTGGAAAAAAATTTTTTTTTCTAAATCAGTATAATGTTTACTACTACTTTTAGATTGTCTCAACATTTTGAATAAACGTAAATTTATATTTTTGTTTTATCTGAAGAGATCTTTCTTCTCATAATTTTTTGGCTTATTTAAACTTTAGCATGCGTAAACCATAGAAAATAATTAATATGATCGACATTATCAAAAAATAGTCGTAGAAAAATCCACAGCTGGGATTGGTTACTTCTCTAGGAATTTCCCGAAAATGCCCGATCATCACATAAGTATATTACAGAATACACTTAAGCATTTACTTACTTAAGTTAAGCTTGATGTTAATAAGTCGAACTTCATCACTGGCTTCTTCATAGAGTTTGACTTATTTGAGAACTATGAATTCATCATGTAAATAAGCTCGACTTTGCTTATAAGTAAGACTTAATCAAGTCAATCTTAAGTTCAGATTTAAGTTGGGACTATGAATACCGCCCTAAGTTTCTGATTGGTTGAGAAATTCCGTTCTCTTGTTGAACAAAGTAGCAACCTTTGGTAGCCATGAAGTATAGAGTCAAAATAGAACCGTGAACAAAGGAAAAAGCCTTAAGCCGCGAAATAAGCGTTTGATAGCATAACTCATGCCGGTAACAGTTACCATTAATAAATTATCATTTGTGGTACTATTACCAGAACCATTGTTTTACCTTACCTAAACATTTACAGATGTCGGTAAGTTACCGACTGTTAAACATCAGTGTTCCAAGCAAGTTACCGAAAAGCACGAATTACCGCTACATTACTAATACCAGTGTCGATAAATTATCTAATTAAAATCAAAACCACGTAACATCACAAAAGTTGCAAAATTAATAATACTTAAACTAAAAGAGATAAAAGAAAACGGTTTTCTCTATTAAATTCAGCATTCCAAACTGCAAACTACTGACTTAGTTTCAACTTCTAAATAATTGTTAGTAATAATCAAATGTTTAAATAATTAAAATTATTATTAACTTTCGAATACGTGGTATTTTACAATTACGTAATAGAAACACGAATCCGAAAACCATTTTATTAAGTGCTGACACCTGCATCATTGTGTGAACCAGAAGCTCCAATGTCGACAAGTGTAAATATATAATTAGCATCACAAACAGCCATCAGTACGATGCTAAATCTTTTTTTATAATTGAAATAAGCACTTCCAGATTTCTTCCAAAGATGGGAAAGTTACTTTATAAAAGTAACTCGTTACCGTTATTGTTCTTTTTGTTAAACAGGAACTCGATACCGTTACTCGTTACCAATTTTAAAAAGTAACTTGTTACCATTACCGTTACTTGAAAAGTAACGAATCGTTACAATATCCGTTACTTTTTTTGTACAAGTTATAAAATTTATGCCCAACTTTTTTATTTTAACCTGTAAATACTACAAATTTTTAGTAATTACTAGAATTTTTTAAATATTAGTTTTTAGTAAAGTAACAAGCTCGAATATAAATTAAAAATTTAATGTTCTTAATGTAAATTGTAAGAATTTTAATAATAAATAAAAGTAATAATTTTTACACTCAGATATTTGAAATAAGAAAAACTTTTAAAAAGCTGTAAATAAGCTTCTCCTTGAAAATTTGCAAATGCTATAAATGTTAATGTACAAACTTTTCATATTGCTATATGAACGCTATATAGTTTTACTATAATTTCATATTACAGCATTTACAAATTTTAAAAAAGAGCCTTTTACAACTTTTTAAAAGATATTCTTATTTAAAATCTTATCAAAAGTATTAAGTTTACATGTTCTCAAAAATATTAAGTTTACATATTTTCAAAATTAATAATTTTATATATTA